CAATGAGAACTGCGGTATCCCCTTCCTCTATACACTTTTTGGTGATCTGTTCCAGCATCAATTGCGCTCTCGCTACCATCCCAACCTTGATACAAGCGTTAAAAGTCGCGAGGACCTCACTCTTGTCCGATGAGATGCCTCCAACCGACTTCCTCGTATACTTCTCCTCCGGTGTGGTCCAGTTTTCGAATATTAAAAGTTGTGTAGAATCCAAGGGTTCCAAAGGCTCAACCGGAATAGAGTATGGTGCTGCGTCTGGTCTCAGTGGGGGGAATATAGTGGAGGTGTCAATATCCGAAACCTCCAGGGCGGCGGCGGCAGTCGAGTAGGATCGATCGGTGGGTTTCGCGGGTGTTTCCGAAGGCAAACTGACACTCCTCGCATTTGAAGAGGACCACCGAATTGGTTCGCGATATGCATATGGCGAAGCGCATGGCCGTGGTAAACGGGGTGTTTCGGAGGCCAATCGCACTCCGGAGCTCCGGCGCACGATTCGGCGGTGAATTCCTCTGCTGGCTGCCCGGAGCATGACAGGAAAGAAAATATAGGAATAGCAGAGGAAATGTACAATGGGGTGGCGAAGTTACGGGAAGGAAGAGTAATTTTGAGAGGCGAGAGTAGAGTTATAGGGAGGAATAGTGGGGTGGAGGGGCAAGGAAAAGATTGAAACCAAAGGGAAAAAAATAAAAAGGAAGGGCCCAAGGGCAGAAAGTTTCTTCAACAATAGGGCGCACATGATTTGCCAAGAAATGGGGAACAGATATCATAGGGTCCCATAGCATCTGCCATACCGTAGCGGTACTGTACTCGAGTGCCGTATGCCAGCCTACGAGTACCGTAAATTATGATACCATACGGTACAGTACCCGAGATCGCGCTAGGCCGAAAAAAAGGAGGGTTGGAGAGCTTGCCGCATGGCATGATACAAGTACAAGTACCGTATCATACGGTACAGGGTACATGTAGTCTAACTCGCCAGCCACTGAGAACAGATCCGGCGACCTCCTCTAAAATCAACTCTGAGAAGTGTTCTTGCTTGATACTTGCGCGGCCGAGCTGAAGTCAGGCAGCCTCATAATGCCGGCATCATAGCGCTCGGGATACCGGGCTGTACTCGTCCACGGTCGAAACGGGCCGAAACTTTGTGGTGGAAATAGTATGGTGCAAAGCATCTAAAGGTGGGACCTCCGATGAAACAGGAATTCCGGTGAAACCCATTGCAACCGATCCAGGTACTGTACCGTAATGACAAGAGATGCCAAGTTCTATACCCTGAACAAAGCATAGCAATAGGATAAGGGTAGGAACCCTTAACCAGTAATAAATTTAACTGGCTAACCTCAAATAACTGTTCCATAACCTTGTACTAACCTTTTGTCTTCAGACTACAAGTATTCACCTGTGTGTACCATACAGTATCAGGATTATTAGCAAAAGAATAATTATCTTATATAAAATAGAGTAAGCCTGAGTAGCATGTAACTCTTATAGCATTTACAATAGTTCTTTGTTTTCTAAAATTCCACCCTATCTTATTCTAGTCCTACAGGATAGTAGTGACTATTATTTTCTAGGCTTTGGCCCTTATCCTCTCTAAACCCTTTCTGTTCTAACTGCTCAGGCTATTTTGAGGTCTATATTATAATATAAAATTTAATATATTAGTCTTGTTCCCTTAGTATTTAAAGCCAATAACCTATACAAATAATGTCTAAATAATGACTAAAGTATATACTTTTAAGCAATTCAAAACTTGGTTTTAGATTACTTTGTATCTTTTATTATACTTTTAATTTTTCATTTTTATTTTATACATTTTTTGTTGCATTATCCTATATCCTATCTAGTATTTTTCTGTATTTTTTGTATAATATTATTATATAGTGCTGGCTATCTATAATGCCCTCAAACTCTATTGCAATAGGGATATAGGCTTAGAGTAGAATAGCAGACTACTAATTTATCACTATCATACTATGAAAGCTAGGTAATTGTTAAGAATCCTACCGGGTATGGGACTACAACAGGTAATGATACTTCTCTCGAGCTAAGGTAATAGTTCTTAGACCTTTACCTACGCAATGTCGATAGCTAAGTCCCTTCAAGTTGACTTCTATCTTATCATGCCTATTCCTCTGATATTCTTAAGCTCTTACTTAGGACTTATTCTTCGTTGTTGTGGGAGAAAAGACAATTCTTGGGTTTCTTAAGATAAATCTTAAAGAGCATAAAGGTAGGTTTTATTGGTAAAATATAAGAATAGGAAATAAACGAGAAGAATGTATGAAGAGCTAATACTCAGGGTTCTAGTGGCCCTTTATATAGTCGCTCTTCACCTGGCATAACTCATACCTTATGTCATGCGAACCCGGTGACTTATAACTATGAGTCATGTGAAATCTATTAGCTGACTCCTATGAGTCACTGTGCAACATGCCTAATAACAATCAAAACATAATAACCAAATCAGGTGGGCAACTCACATCACCTGAGTGAAACCCATGACTCATAACTTGAGTGATGTGTGAAAATCATAAGATCATTTGACTCACAACTGTGAGTCATGAACAGGTAAATATAATAATCTATAGCACAGAATCCCGAGCTATGTAAAATCTATCTTACTTAGTCACAGTTTATAACAGTAATAATCCTACAGTAATATAACAGCACTTATTTTTACCTGCTATTACATTCTAAGCCTGCATCTAGTATGTTGTAATAGACTTGTGAAATATTATCAACAACCAGTACTGTATATGTTTCAAAGGTACCACTCCTTATATATTAGAATAAACTATTCAAATTAGATGTTAAGGGAAAAAAGTACTACTATTACAAAATAGTTATAGGTTATCATACAAACTTGAGGTTTTTAAAATATTATTAGGATAGTTTAGGTTTTAGGATAACACTTAGCCTAGAGTTTTTCGTACTCCTTGGCAGTCTGGTCATTTATAGGGATACTATATAATATTGTTTTAAATTTTTATTATTATTTCACTTTACTCATATCTACTCCACAGTATATTTTAGCACAGTAGTATGTAAATTGTATCACTTGTTTAATTTTCACCGAAATTTTCACTTTTTAATCTTTAACTACTTTTGCTGACAGCCTTAATATTTTTTAAAAAACACTACTACTCTATTCTTTATGGAATTAGCTTCATCTTAGCTGTTTTTTCCTTTGCAAAATTTCTTGTTGTAGTTGACTAATTAGGAATTGCATTCAAGTTTAGCCTATTTGAAGAATCTGGTTTAGATTTATTTACACTATCCTCTAATCTGTATGCAGATTTCGCAACTTTTTAGCATGATTACTAACTTAGGTTAACCTCAGATCTTTACTCCAAGTAGTATGACCATGAATTCTCTTGCTGTGAGGTAACCAGGAGAAAATATCTCTGCAATTATGACACTTGTACAAGGTACTATTCCTGATCTTGAAATATTCTAAGAAACTAAAAAGCAACAAATATAAATAAAGGGATAGAGATTATATCAATGACTAAAGTTAGGAAATTTATATAAATTAAAATAAATTATGGTAATTTACAAAATATAATTTGCAATTTACATAATTATAATACATAATTTACAAGGCTAGGGTTTTTATATACCCTAAAGTCTATCAATAAACCTATATTTTACTAGGAGAATTTTCCATTTGCAGCTGAACATTAGGTTTTCTATAGAAAGAAACTTGAACTGTATGTTATACCTTGGGTGATGCTGATAATCATGAAATAGGACCTGGGTCTCCAATGGCCTTAAAAGAGATAGCATCATGATAGTTTATACTACAAGAATTGAAGTATAAGAAACTTGCAAGAGCTTTAGTACCAGTTCCTAGAAGGGATGGTAGTTTCAATTGGTGAATAGCTCACTGGCAATAATAGGCTACTACTATTTATACTTATGATGCAAACTGGGAGAGAAAGGATAGGTAGAGATTACCAATCATGAAGCACTTTTGATTTACTTTAGATTATCAGATTAAATATACAAGTATTCTTCAAAAGCAAAAGGTTGAAGATTCCCTGGCTTGAAATTTGATCAGATTTTGTTTCTTAGGTAAAATGCTTTATGTAAATAATTATACTTTATGGTAAATTTACGGTAATTTACGGTAATTTACAAATCTGTAATTTACAGTTGCCTAACCTTACGATCGACCGATAGACCTGGCGGAAAGAACCCCACGGCCCAGCAACGGTGCCCCAGAAACCGGAAACCCCCTCACCAGTTGCATTTTGTTCACTTTTCCCAAGAGATATGGATCGGAGATTCCGAAAGTGTTCTTTCGGGGCTATAAGTATGATACAGTAATCTCCATGGGGCTAGGCCTAGTCTGCCGTGAGCCAATTTTCACAGCCCAGAGCTTGCTCCATCTCGCCTGTCGTTACTTGCACATGTACGAGTACTTGTAAGACAAGATTCACAGTGTCCACTCCGGGTTGTTTGTGTCCTCCTGGTCTCGGTTCCTTTCTCCAACCCATTTTGACTGTCTGCCCCCATGCCACAGCCCCGCAAGACTGACAAGGTTCTTTTTTCCGCCCTCTCTGGCCATTCGTGAGCATTGGTATGCTACAGGTACCAGCACTGTGCTAGACCATCTCACACTCAAGTATGATAGAGTGCAGTACGAACATCGGTACCCGTGACTTAATACGGTTGACGGTATCTACAGCGGTGCTTTCTGGGATGCAAGAATGTTTACGAGTATATTACCGTACTCGAGTAGCATACGGTACTCGTACTCGCACGTCTCTTGGCACTCCTGCTTAGTAATAATAGATGAAGCCCCAGCCAATGATACATCTCTAATTCCCTACAGCAGACGGTCCCGTATGAGGAAATCCATCCACCCCCGGTGCATCGGGCCCAGTCGAGCATACCATCCTGCCCGAGGTAACTTATATCATAGTAACAACCATCCTGGTACAGCTTCCTCCCGCAACCCACACTTCACCCTCCATTTTTTTTCTGAACCCCCCACCCAAGAGCCTTCGGAAGGTCACCAGTATGGCGGAATCGTCACTCGCTGCTGACTTGCTAGCTGACTTTAACGACGATTCTGATAACGAGGATTTGGACTTGGAGAACGGGGATCTAAACGTTCCAGAGACCGCCGGTATTCGTTCCAAATCCCGTGACCTTGGATTGGATGGCGATGAGGAGGATGATGAGGATGAAGATATGGGGGGAACAGAGGGCGCGCGAGGGGCCGTGGGAAGTGGTGCTGGAGTACGGAGACATTCAGAGTCTGAGCTTGCGGATGACGACGATGAAGAGGCTAGGAAGGCAAAGGTAGAAAAAATGCACCTTGGCGGGGTCGATGATGTTCGGAGTGTCGCAGGTTTGATGAAGGTTCTTGAGCCTGTCCTGGAGGTACGCCATCACCTTTTCCATTCCCACGCTCCAATGGGCAACACGCTGACTTTTGATGGAAATAAGCAAATTCAATACTACAAAAACCTCCCACCAGCCAAAGGACCCCAAGGGAATGCCGAGGATAACCCCGAGTACAAGCTGCTTGTCCAATCCAACGCGCACGCCGTATCCATTGACAACGAGATCATTCTTGTTCACAAATTCATTCGCGATCACTACGCCGTGAGGTTTCCTGAACTGGAAAACTTGGTCACCAATCCTTTGGACTATGCCAAGACAGTTTCTATAATCGGTAACGACTTGGACATCAAAAGTCTCGAGGTTCGAAACGGGAATCGGCTACGACAGGTCTTGGATGGGCCGACATTGATGGTAGTGACAGTGGAGGCTACCACCACCTCGGGTCGTGACTTGACGGAGAAGGAGTTGGCGGTCACAATGAGGGCCTGTGAAATGACACAGGCCCTTGACGCAGCCAAACGAACCATCACGGCTTATGTGGAATCTCGAATGTCTATGTTCGCCCCTAATACTTCTGCTATCGTTGGCTCCCAAACCGCAGCTCAGCTTATCAACTTTGCCGGTGGGCTGCGTGGTCTTGCTGCTACGCCAGCTTGCAACATTGCTGCTCTAGGATCTAAACGCCAGACTCAAACGGGGCTGGCGACAAACATTGGCATTCGCCAACAAGGCTATATATTTCACTCGCCTATAATTCGGGAAATACCCACGGACCTAAAGGTTCAAGCCATGCGAATAGTATCCGCGAAACTTATTCTCGCTGCTCGGGTTGACTTCTCGCACTCATCTCCCGATGGATCCCAAGGCGAAGACCTCAAAGAACAAGTCTTGGAAAAGCTCGAAAAGCTCACCATCCCCCCACCCAACAAAGGTCCCAAGGCCCTACCAGCGCCTGACGATAAACCAGCGCGTAAGCGCGGAGGTCGCCGGGCACGAAAGGCAAAAGAAGCGACTGCCATGACGGATCTTCGCAAGGCTCAGAATCGTATGGCATTCGGCAAGCAGGAGGAGGAGACGGGCTATGGGGTCGGTGATTCCACCAAGGGCCTCGGGATGATTGGACAGGAACAAAATGGGCGCATTAGGGCTCTTCAGGTCGACCAGCGAACCCGTGCAAAACTTGGCAAATACAACCCCGGATGGGCTGGTGCGACCCCAGTCGGAGGTGCGCAGTCTATACTAGGCACACGATCCAGCAACGGGCCAGGCCTTGCGGCTTTGGGTGGTGGTGGAAGGAGCACTTTTGGCGCCCCGACGGGATTGGGAAGCGGCACAGCCAGTAGCCTTGCATTTACGCCTGTGCAAGGCATCGAGTTGATTGATCCTAAAGTCGCTGCCGAGAGAAAACGGAAGGCCGCGGCCGAAGACGACAGATACTTTGCTGGGGGCACTTTCAGCATGGTAGGTGGTGGCGGGTCGAGCGTCGTGGCCCACAGGGAGCAGGGCACTGGTAGGGGAAAGAATCCGGGGATGATGCTACCGCCGCCACTGCCCAAGAAGTGATTCGGCGGAGGATCGGGGGCCAAAATCATGAGTCTTTGGTGTCTTCTCGGGAAATTGGAAGTCTTTGGAGGAGGTTTTTTTTTCTTTTTTGCTGTTTAACAATGGTATCTCTTTTCCCGTTTCCTTCCCTTCCTTGTTTTTTTCTTTCTTTCCCTTTCCCCTGCTGTGCTTGTAACGATCCTATGTTTACGCGGCAGTAGTATTTTTAGTTTAGATTGGGGGGGGGGGGGTGTTCGATATTTCAATTGCACTGCATGGGAGGGACCCGGGAGGTTAAACCTTACCGCACCCGGACCGGTACAGCACAGCGCCCGTACTGTGAACCACTGCACCACTATACGAGCTGGGTGCCGGTATCGCACCACATCGTATGCTACAGGCACTGTGCCCTCGCCCAGGACTTTTTTGCCTACACTCTTGTCCCCGTATTCCAAGTGCGGCATCCTCCTCCGGCAGATTTACTGCGAGGAATTTCAATATGCTCCGGATTGTGATCTGTGACTCATGAGGGGCTTACGCGTCCACAGTCCAATATCAGAATGGAGAACCTTTTCTTCGCCCAGTTGAGTTGTAGTAAGCTATCGTAACTCGCCTTGTCCCGTATCCCGGAGCATAGCTCAGTATGATACCTCCATGCGCATTCTCCATCACCCAGAGGAATACCGGCGCGATAGGGTATCCTTCAGCATCAGCAAGGAATTTCCCATCATGACATCTGTGACGGCGAGTGACGAGCGTTCTGTGGCGGTGCATCGCCAGCCTTATCGCTGGCTCTTGCATGAGAACGCACCGCCACAAAATACTCATCACTTTCCGTCACCCTCCTGTCCACTGGCGGGGGCTGATAAAAGGGTCTACAGTATCGTATTGTACCGTGCATGATACTTTTAACTTACCGTATCATATCATATGCTCGTGACGGTACGGTACTCCAAGAGGTGATCACAATGTCTCACAGCAAACACCGGGAACCCCCCTCCCCGCGTTGGTTACTGCGTAGTACTCGTATCGGTCTGCTATCCTACCACTATGATACGCTATTCTCTCTATAAAACCACCCACCATCGCACCCTGCCCCACTCCCCCTCCGCACTCTCCTTCAACTACCGGTATACCGGTAACTTCATCCGCTCCAGATACCCCGCTCTACCAATATTCTGTGCATGGGTGGCGGACACTGTCAGGATGAAATAACGCCCGGTCGGACATGACCTCAGATCCCACATCTTCTCAGAAGGCAGCAGACTCTAGCATTACCATCTTCACCCTCACCCATATCCTCTTGCCAACAGCAATCGTGTACTTGAGCTATCCCTACATGGTATTAAGGATTCTTCCTATTTGTCTCACAACTAACAAGCCCAACCTAGACTTCTATCCTACGATCCATCGTTGCCGGCCCCCGTCTCCAGCACGGCGAAGCCGGCCTAGACCTCTGCTATGTTAGCAGATCACCCACAATAATTGCCATGTCCGTGCCAGCCACAGAGTTCCCTAAAAAAGCTTACCGAAACCCCCTCGATCAAGTCGTCAAGTTCCTGGACAGCAAACACGGTCGCAGCTGGCGGATCTGGGAGTTCAGAGCCGAAGGAACGGGTTATAAAGATGAGGATGTGTTCGGAAGGGTTTTCCACGCCCCGTTTCCGGATCATCACCCGCCCCCGTTTGCTCTCGTACCTGCTGTTTTGGCGAGCATGAGGAATCATTTGAAAGGAGAAGGGAGCGAGAATGCAGTTGCCGTTATTCACTGCAAGGGTTTGTCTCCTGTTTGTCCACAATAGAGGGTACAAAGCTGACGGGTGGATAGCCGGCAAGGGTCGCAGTGGTACCATGTCATGTGCGTATCTCATTGGAGAGGAAGGTTGGTCCGCAGAAGACGCTCTGAACCACTATACAACTGTACGGATGCGTCCTGGCTTCGGTGAGGGCGTGAGTATCCCGTCGCAGCGACGCTGGACACGTTACACCGAGCATTGGGCACGAGAATTGGACAAAAAATACCTTGAACGGACGATCCGGATAGAAGAAGTGCACGTACACGGTCTCCGTGAAGGCGTGCGCGTAGCTATCCAAGGCTTCGTCGACGAGGGCAAGGAGATCAAAACCTACCACACGTTCACACGGAAAGAGCAAATCACACTGGACTCCGACGAGACCAACTCTCCCAAAAATGTGATACTCAAGCCGAAGCACCCGGTGATCCTCCCGACGAACGATATCAACATCGACTTCGAAAGGAGGAACATCGCAGCCTATGGCTGGAGCATGGTCACCAGCATCGCTCACGTGTGGTTCAACGCATATTTTGAAGGCGACGAGGACAGCGGGCTATTCGAGATCGAGTGGGAAGCTATGGATGGGATAAAAGGAACTTTGAGAAAAGGAATGCGCGCATTTGATAGACTAAAGGTGGTCTGGTCTGTCGACAGAAGCACGGAACGCATCGTCCGGGAACCGTCGGAAGGGGAACCAATCCCGCAGCCAAGAAGAGCCGAGACGAAACCACTACACGAAAGGGATCTAGGGTTAAAACGGGAAGATGATGTCGCTTCGTCCACCTCTGGTAGTGGTAGCGGTAGTGGGGTTAGTCTAATCAATAGCCTAGAGCTGCTTAAAGCTAAAGATTCCCAAGAGAACCATGTAGAGTTGGCTACCCTCCCGCTCGAGGAACCTGTCAAAAAGAAGGACAATAGAACCGGCTCGGTAAACTAGCCGTGTGTAATAATAATTATAACAATAGCCTTCCGCAGCCTCTAAAGTCTCTACATGCTCCAAACTATCTCGATTATGATACATCAAGCTTCGCTACCCTACCTATCCTCATTCATGAACCATCATCCTATCACAAAACATCACTCGAACAACTTGTTCCATCCCTCAACACTCTTTCAAGAACCAACGCCTAGAACACCATTATCGCGACTCATTTCAACTTCCATACCCATCCACCCCTTGCCCGAGTATAAGTACCCTGTTTGGGACCACGCAAGTCCCCAAACAATATCTTGTAAAGACCCACACACTCAACACAACACCGACCAGGCCAGGAAGCAATAGAAACCGAAAAGAGGGAAGAAGAGGGAGAAGACATGCTCCGAAAACTCCTCCACATCCTCTCAACGCCCGCAAAGCTCCTCTTCATGCTCCAAATCTCCCTATCAACTGCTGCAATCCCGCTATTAGCCTTACTACCCCCTCCCCTGCAGAAAAAGCCCCTCCTGATAGTGTGCGCGAGCTCGCTGGGTGTGCAGCTGCTCTTTATAGGCTGGCTGCTGGGCGATTTGTACCGCGGGCCGCGGGGGCTGAAGCGGCGTTGGTATCACCTGCCGAGGGGTGGGAATGTGGTGGGCGGTGAGACTGAAGGGGGGGGGGGCAGGAGTCGGAGTCGGAGTCGGAGTCGGAGTAGGACGGGAGGTAGGACGAGGAAGGAAGGTTTGCCTCCCCCCATGCCGGCACCGCCGCCACCAGTATACGAAGAGGGGACGTTTTGGAGTGGGGGGATGGTGGGGAAGCCGGAGGAGGTTGTTGTGAGACAGGAGGGGGAGTGGGTGTGGGGGGATATGCGTACTGGAGGGGATGTGGGTGATGGTGGAGAACAGGCTAGGGAAGCGGGGAGAGGGGATTTGTCGGTTGGCAGGGTGAGGAGGGTGCTTTAAAGTACCGTACCGGTATTTAGATGTCTTTTGCTCGCTTTATCCCTTCGCTCCGTTACTAGCCTTGTTGTGATATCTATTTCTCTCTTTTCTTTCATATATTTCAATTATCGTAGCACTGTACATATGACATCCAAATGTACATATGACATCCAGTTTAAAAATTAGACCAAGTTTTTTTTTCCTTTTTCATGATAGTAACGATACGGTCTGCTATATTCGGAGGTGTCATGCAGGATCTCGGAAGTAGACCTATGGTGCAAATGGACCCAAACCGGGTCCTCCAAATAGGCCAAATGTGATTCCTAATTAGTCAACCACAACAAGAAACTTTGTAAAAATAAAACTGCTAGGTTGAAGCTAATTCCATGGAGAACAGGGTAGCGGTTTTTTTTTTAAAAAAAAAATTAAAGGCTGTGAGCAAAAGTTATTAAAGATGAAAAAGTGAAAATTTTGGTGAGAGTGAAACAAGTGACGCAATCTACATAGTGCTGTGCTAAAATATACTGTGGAGTGGATATGAGTAGGGTCGAATAAAAAACTATGAGCTGAAGACAAAATGCTAGCATAAGGTTATAGAACAGTTATTTCAGGTTAACTTGTGAAATTTATTCCTGTCTATCTTGGTTAAGGAGTTCCTAT